TCAAGTTTGCCCCATTATTGAAAATTTTGCATTGGCCCCCCTTTTAGGGGCCGCTAAAGCCCCTAAAAAATAGAAAAAACCCTTAACAAACGTTCTATTCCTCCAGAACTAATTGATGGATTATCACCAAACCTTGTCTTTAGCATGTTATGCTTAGTTCTTTTATAAGTTTGCTCATATTTAATTTTATTGGCCCCTTTTAGCGGGTCTCCCAGCGGCTAAAAATAGAAAAAAACTTTAAAACATTTCTTCTTCTACAGAACTAATTGATGGACATGATCACCCAAACTTTGTCTGTAGCATTCTTGGAGGTAGTGTTTTAATCAAGTTTCCTCATATTAATTTGATTAGGCCCCTTTTTATGTGGCCACTAAAGTAAAAATAGAAATACCGTTAAATGTCTATTTCTAGGAAACTAATTGATGGCATTGATCACCAAAAACTTTGTCATGTAGCATTTGTTAAATGCTTAGTTCTTTATCCAAGTTTGCTAATATTATTTTGATTGGCCCCTTTAAATGGGTCTCTAGGGCTAAAATAGAAGAAAAAACCTTTTTAAACTATCTTCTTCCTACAAGAACTGATGGATGGATGATCACCCTAAATTTTTGTCGACAGCAATTCTCGCGGTAGTGTTTTATCAAGTTTGCTCATATTAATTTGATGGCCCCTTGTTAGCGGCCACTAAAGCTAAAAATAGAAATACCGTAAAATGTCTATTTTTAGAGAAACTAATGGGAGTGGATGATCACCAAACTTTGCTCCTCGTAGCATTTCTTGGGTACTCTTTTATCAAGTTTGCTAATATTATTTTGATTGGCCCCTTTTAGGGCCGCTAAAGCCTAAAAATAGAAATACTTTTAAATGTCTATTTCTACAGAACTAATTGATGGAATGATCACCAAACTTTGTCCTTTTAGCATTTTTGGGGTAATCTTTTATCAAGTTTGCTCACATTAATTTGATTGGCCCCTTTAAGGGGCCGCTAAAGCTAAAAATAGCTAAAAAACCTTTAAACATCACCTACTTCAGAACCAATTGATGGATGATCACCAAAACTTTGTCTGTAGCATTCTTGGGTGTACCTCTTTATCAAGTTTGCTTATATTAATTTGATTTGGCCCCTTTTAGGGGCCACTAAAGCTATAAAAATAGAAAAAAACCTTTGAACATCATTTCCTACTGAAATAATTGATAGATGATCACCAAACTTTTGTAGCATTCTTAGGTAGTCTTTTTATCAAGTTTGCTCATATTAATTTGATTAGCCCTGTTTAAGCCTAAAGCTTAAATGCCCCAGGTCATGGAATTTCTTTCAAAAATATTGTTTAAACATATTCTATGCCCCAAGTTTAATAGAAAAATAAATTGACATTCCCAAAACTGAAAAACAGTTGTTTTTTTGGGAGGCGACTCCAGGGCCCTCCCCTGGCCCCCTTTTGTTTTAACATTTGGGTTTTTACAAATGTACTTAATGTAAAATACTTAAAAAATGTTTTAAATAAAATACAGGGACAATTCATAGAAAAATCACAGCTATGGTATGAGTAAAGGAAAAATATATTTAATGCCTTTAAATGTTTAGATATGTGAATTGGAAAAGTCAGATTCAATCAAAGTATACATGTATAAACAAATTATTTTCCAAAAAAAAAGATCTATGAACATTCACTCCAATATCACATTGGAAAGAAATCTTACATAAAAAATGATGACAAGATAGGCAATATATATTATAACTTGCACATATCAGGTTTAATGTGAACCATTTTTGTGGTTATTTAGGGGCATCCCCTGATTTCGAATATTTTGAAAAATTAAAGCCACTGATCTCCAGGTAGTAAAATGAAAAAAAAAATTAAGTATACTCGTTAGGTTAGTACAGGAACTACAGTGAATTTGTGATGTATTTATGTTTGTACAAAAGAGACAGACAGGATTAAATGACAGGGGCACAAAAACTATTGTACTCATGACTGGTCAATTGTTTACATCTAAAGTACTAATAACAAGAAAAATATAGAAGAAAATAAGTTTGAAACTTTCTGAAGAGGGAAGCAAGTACACTATGAACCTTTGTTTATCAACAAAACCTTATACCTTCAGTTTTCATGTTTTAGAAACAAAATCTTATAAGAAGATATTCTTATCGAAATAAGTTTGAGAATAAAGTAATTGGTCCATGTTTTAAACATTTAGGTATTTTAGGGCTGATGGAAAGATTATTTTGAAAACTGAATGTAAATCTATTTCAGGTTTAGTCTTCAGTTAGAGGTAAGAAATGTTTTTGTTAATCCCCTTCCGCGTAGTGGAAAGGAGATTATAGGAATGGCCTCCGTATGTCAGTCCGTATGTAAGTTTGTCCATCTGTCAGTCCGTCCGTCTGTCTGTCCGCACTCACAGGAGAGTAATTATGTGGCTATAGGGACAATAGGTAACTGTTCTTTCTCTTTGATGTCATTCATTCCGTAATGCTTTTATGTGGCTATTTTCTTTTGTGTGGCTAAAAAGAACAATAGAGAGAACAATAGAGTAGCCACATAATTACTGTCCTGTGAGAACGTCCGTCCGTAACACTTTCGTGTCCGCTCCATAACTTTTAAACCGCTGAAAAAAAAATAATTTTAATAACTTTGCACAAGTAATCAACATAATGAGACGATGTGCAGAGCGCAATAACTGGTTTGCTACCCGCAAGGTCAATGTCACACTTAAAGGTCAAATGTTAAAAGTCTTCATTTTATAATAAAAAGTCTACATTTCGAGTCCGCTCCATAACTTTTAAACCGCTGAAATATTTTTGAAATAACATGGCACAAGTGATCCCCATTATAAGACGATGTACAGAGCGCAAAAATAGGTTGGTACCCCCAAGATCAAGGTCAAATGGTAAAAAGTCTTCATTTCATAGTAAAAAGTCTACATTTCCTGTCTGCTCCATAACTTAATAACCGCTGAAATATTTTTGAGATAACTTGGCACAACTGATCCCTATTATGAGACGACGTGCAAAGCGCAATAATTGGGTTGCTACCCAATAGGTCAAGGTCACACTTAAAGGTCAAATGTTAAAAAGTCTTCATTTCATAGTAAAAAGTCTACATTTCCTGTCTGCTCCATAACTTTTAAACCGCTGAAAAAAAATTAAATAACTTGGCACAACTGATCACCATTATGAGACGACGTGCAGAGTGCAATAATGTGGTTGCTACCCAAAAGGTCAAGGTCACACTTAAAGGTCAAATGTATAAAATTTCGTGTCCCCTCCATAACTTTTAACCTCTGAATTTTTTTAAATAGCTTGGCACAAGTGATCACCATTATTTAAACCGCTGCAATTTTTTTATGATAACTTGGAAGAAATTATCACAATTATGACACTGGTCTGTGGCAAGGCACAATGATAAAATTACAACCCAGAATGTCAGGGTCACACTCAAAGGTCCAATGTAAAAACATCTATTCATGTCATGTCAGCTTTATAACTTATTGACACCATTTTTGGAGACAATCTCTTAGATAGAGCTGTCCAGGAAAACACTGACAGTTGTTAAAGTTGCTTGCAAGTTCCCTGTCTTCTATTTTATTATTAAATGCCTTATATAAATTTTAGTATTAGGTCTGGTAATTACTTTATAGATGATAATCATTTGATTAAATCAAACAGTCAAATGAAACCATATTTTTTATGTTCAAATTGAATTTACGACAAAAACATTTAGTAGCGGTGACCTTGCCGTTGACCCCAGGGAGTCCAAAAGCAACAACAATTGGGGTTTTAACGTAAGCTTCCTATATACGGTATTTGATTACAATATGTAATTCCAAATTCAAATTATTGTCCGAAAACCATTTTTCTATTTTAACCATTTTTCCGGAAACCATGAAGAGACCGCTCCTATAACCCCCCCCCCCCCCCCCCCCAAAAAAACTTCATTTGTGGGGTTATAAAAAATTTGTATGCCTTATGTTAATTAAGTAGAAGTTGTTTTTTATCTTTAAATGTCTGAACCCCAACAATCTTGGCACGATATAAATAGTCACCACCCTTACCCCTTGCTCCACCTGACATCACAATTGTCTACTTTGAAAATTTGTTGAAAATATTATCAAAGTAAACGTGTCTAAAAATCGACTTCATCGATCCCTGCCAAAATCTCTAATCATGAGATGCAAAATGCACTGCAATATGTTTCATGGAACGAAATACTGTAAATATACGGTTTAGAATTATGTTTCTGAAATTTTCTATTCTTCAGGTTGCCCAACTGTATGTGCATTTCTTAGACATGAAACGAGATAGAGAGCAGTTCAAGAACTGGTTCTTCCAAGTTACTGGAGCAGAGGCAAAATGGCAGGACCAGTGTTATGATTCGTTGAATGGATATTACCAAAACTTTCATCAGTGACTAACAACATATTTTTCAATATTGATATAATTGTATATTGATTAGTTTTATGTAAGTCGGTTTTATATCTTTACTTATTTCATTATATCTCTTTTGATGTAATGCAATAAAGATGTCAAAAAAGTCTAATAATTATAACATTTTATTATGTGCCATTTTATCATCCTGCTATTTTCTTGAAGTAAAATAACATTTCAAATGGACGGTTTTATATTTAAGTAGTTGACATTTCATAAATGAAAATAATGCGTAGATCTATGAGAATAAAAACGCGTAAGAAAATATGGTTATCCGATTCAAAAAGAAAGCTTATTTAGCACATTGTAAATATAAATGGTAAATATAAAGAAATAAAACAGTAAAAGTTTCTATAATTAAATAACATTGTATAAATGCACATGTTTTTATGAAAATAAAATGACAATTACCTGAAGTTATGAAGGAAAGATTTCAATGGCATGAAGTTCCGTATTCATAAATGGGGTATGTGGAAATGTGAGTTAACCATAACCTTAACCTTATTAATTGATAAATATAACTTTCGTAGAAATCTACAAACTGATGCTGCATGCGAAATTTCTAAGCTTTTGGCTTTTTATTTTCAAACAATAAGTCTTAAATGTGTTTTCCTATATAAGTTTGTATATATTCAAGTGACCCATGTGCAGGCAAATATTGACCTCAGGGGGGGGCATGATCTAGTTAGTTTTGTTAACACCTTTTATGACCTTTGGTCTTGTTTATTTTTTTTTCCTTATGATATTAATGCATAAAGTATTCATGTCAAATGGTACAACTCTTAATTGAACATCAACTTTAAAACAGTAGGAGTTTTTTTTCCCTTTAGTTGGTGAAAATTTTGTCAAAATAAGTATAAATGTTAAATTAGTTAAGTTTTCAATGTTATAATGAGATTTTTCCTTTATGTCAAAGAAGTTCTACAAAAGTGTTATGCAATAACTTCTAGAAAGGATTTTTCTATGGTTTTATTAAAAAAAGGTCTGCCTTAAATAACGTTGTGAAGTTGGCGGCCTAGCGGCCTGGCGGCCTGGCGGCGTGAAGTTGGCGGCCTAGCGGCCTGGCGGCGGAAGTTGGCGGCCTAGCGGCCTGGCGGCCCAAGCGGCGTGAA